CGGCCATACGCCCCGCCCCTCGAGGCCCCGCCCCCTCCCGTTTGCAAAGGCCCGCGTCCCTCTGCTCTTCACCTGCCCGGCGCCCTTTCAGACCCCTACTTCCCCAGGTCCCTCAGGCCCCGCCCCTCCCAGGCCCCGCCCCTCCAGGTCCCGCCTCCTGCGCTCACAGATCCCGCCGCTCCCTCTACCCGCCTCACCTCCTCCTGGAAGAGGCTCTGGCGGTTGCGCAGGCTGCGCAACTTGCTCTGCTTCTCCTCGTGCTGCAGCTCCTCGGAGGGCGGCTCGAAGTAGCCGATGAGGTCCTGCAGGCTCAGGACGACGCCCTCGATGGGCAGGGCCGGGCCAGCCGGCGGCCCCGAGCCCCGTGGCTTCCCGCTGAAGCTGTCCAAGCCCCTGCGGGGATCGCGCCGAGGTCAGTCTGGCTTGGGACTGAGACTCGCCCGGGCATAGGCACAAGGGGTCCTGGAAGCAGGAGTCAGGGCCAAGGACGTGCAGGGTCAAGGGTCTAGGTGACAGGGGTGTGAAAGTTAGGTGGTGATCAGGATGTGACCGAGGTCAGTCTGGCTTGGGACTGAGACTCGCCCGGGCATAGGCACAAGGGGTCCTGGAAGTAGGAGTCAGGGCCAAGGACGTGCAGGGTCAAGGGTCTAGGTGACAGGGGTGTGAAAGTTAGGTGGTGATCAGGATGTGCGGTCAAAGGTCATGATTGCTGAGGCCAGACTAGGGTCAAGTGTATAGAGACCAGGAGTTTAGAGGTTGGGGGTCGTGTGTATGTTAGGGGTGTGAATGTTAGAGGTAGAGATTAAAGGGTCAGGAGCATGAATGTCAGGAGCACCGGGGTCACTCCGGGCAGGTGGGCTGGCAGCTTACTTGATGAACTGGTTGTACAGGGCAGCAGTGCTGTGGATCATGCGGGCAGCCTGGGATTCCTCCTGCTGGCAGCGGGTCAGCGACAGCGCATCATCCATGTGGCCTTCCTGGTGCAGCATGGCCTGGGAAAGTAGGAGGACAATGAGGTCAGGAGGGGGCCCAGCCACCTACGGCCATGTCCCCCCAACTTCTGCTCAGACTTTAGTCCTGCAGCTTCCCCCCCCACAGAATCTCTCCGCCAATACCCTCCCCATCTTTCTATCCCTCTTCGTCTGTCTCTGGGTCTCTCATTCTCTCTCCTCTGTCTCTGTCTGTCTCTCACCTCTCTCCCACACATTGTCTCTTTCTCCCTGCCTCTCCCTCTCTGTCCCTGTCTATATCTCCCTCTCTCTCTGCCTCTCTCTCTTTTCCTTTCTCTCTCTCTGATTCTCTCTTGTCTGTCTTTGTCTCTTTTCTCTGTCTCTCCATCTTGCCTGTCTCCAGGCCAGATCCTCTCTGCCTCTATCTACTACTGACTTAACATCCCCCCTAGAAAGCTCTAACGGCATCCCGAGCTTAACTTGTCCCGGACAGAATGCCTGACCACCTTTCAGCGAGGCGAGACCCTCACAGCTGCCATCTTTGCCCTGAGCTGACCGTCTCAGGACCTCTTCCAGTCCTGCGGCTGTAAATACCACCCACCTGCTGACGACTCCCACATGTCCCACCTGGCCCAGGCCCCAGCTCTACATCCTCGGCTCATGTATCCAACTACAGGCCTCATTTTGTGCAAACGGTTGCCTCACCAGGCTTGCCACTCATTCACTCAGCAAGTCTTTATTGAGTTGCGCTGTTCTAGGTACTGGGGGTAAAACCTAAGATCCCTCCTTCTGAGCTGACACTTGACTGTCCCCAACTCAGTTAATAGCGCTCTCTTCCTTCTAGTTGCTCAGGGCAAAATTCATGGCATCATCCTCAACCCCTCCCCATCTCTCACTCCATGTCCAATCTGTTGGCAAATCCTGTTGTCTCTACCCTCAAAATACAACCAGAATCTATGACTTTTCCCACTCGACAGTCCCCACCCTCGTCCTGTCCACTGTCATCTCCTATCTGTTTCCCCTGCTTCCTGGTTTCCCTACTCCAGCTCTACTCTTCCCCACAGTCTGTTCCCATGAGCAGCCAAGGAACCTTGTGACCCTCAGTCAGTTCACCTCCCTGCCCTGCTCAAAACTCTCTTGTGGATTCATCTCACTCAGGATAAAACCTGGAACCTTCCCCATAGCCCACAAGGTCCCACACAATTTGTTCCCTTCTGCTCTCTGTCCTCACTTCCCACTACTCGCCCCTTGCTCAATCTGCTCCAGCCACGCGGGGTCTTGTTTCTGTTATCGCAAACAATCATGTTCATTCCAACCTCAGGGCCTTTGCACATGCTGTTTCCTGTCAAAAGTAACTTTCCCACTCCTCAGTTGTAAAACTATGTACTTCATTAAAGGCAGTTTATTCACTATTTCTGAGCACTGGGAAGGAAGGGAACAGGTGTGTATAGCTCATTCATTTTTTACACACATATCCAGAACAACTCGGGTACTCAGTAATTGTTTGTTGACCGTTATTCTCAGCCTGCCATTACCTGTCTTTTTTCTCTCTCTGTCTCTGTCTCTATCTTTCTATGTCTCTTTGTCTCTGCCTTTCCCTCTCTATATTTTTCTTTCTTTGTCTCTCTCTTTCTTTTTCTTTCTTTTTTCTCATTTCAGTCACAGTTTTTCCCTCAGTCTCTGTCTTTTTCTCTCCCAGCCTCAAACCTCCAAAGGCTCAACCATGGCCACCCCCAAGCCCCTTCCTGCCCCTACCTGCACTCCCACCCCTTCCCCTGCCAGGCACTCACCTTCTTCTTAAGCACGCCAAGCCGCAGGGCCTTGGGGTCTGGGGCAGCATAGGTGAGCCACAGGCCTGAGGCCACATGCTGGACAAAGCATAGTGACTCCCCATACTTGATCTCAGGGGGGCCCATGCCCTCTACGTCCCGCTTGGGGGCCACATCCAGCTTCTCCTACAGAGGCAGGGGACAGAAGTCAGCCTCCCCTGCCTGTGCATTTAATGAGGGAGCTCCGTTGACAGACTGCAGAGTGTGGGCTGGGGCAGGATTTGGGGTTCCAGGTGAGGGAGGGTGCCCTAAATGCCACTGACCTTGGAGATGCGGAAGCAGAAGGAGGTAGCCTTCGTGTGGGCCTTGCTGGCATCAACCACCACGAGACCCTGGTCCTCGGTGAGCGCCAGGTACCGCCCGGTGGTGACATGCCGGATTCGAAGCGGCTGGCCCCAGCGCAGGTGGCTCCCACTCCAGCTGCAAGGGGAAGTGCAAGGGGGGTCAGAGGACCCTCTCAGTCCTCCATGGACACCACAGTCTTGGTCTCTTCAAGCCCCCAGCCCTCTTCCAGGGCTCAAAAAACCTTCCTCAGGAACCCCAATCCTCTCTTGGGTCCTCACAGCTTCCCCAGGGCTCCCCAGATGTCTCCAGTGCCCCCAGTTTTTTCAGACCCCTACAATCTCCAATTTTCACTCAGGACCCCCTGATCTCACCCTCAGGAACCTCCATCACCATCCTCCATCAAGACCTCTTTTTCCTCCAGGAACCCAGGGTCCTTGAGGACCTACATGTCTTTTTTGGGCTCCCCAGAGTTTTCCTCAAAACCCTCCAGTCTCTTCCTCAGCTCTAAGTTGCTTTCTCCCCCCCCCCCCCCTTTCCCCCAGCCTATCCCCCCCCCCTTATTCTCAGGGGCTCCAGCCCCCAGAGGGAGCGGGCGTGAGTGCACACAGCTCCCCCCTCGTAGTAGACAAGTCTGGGAACACAGGAGAGAGGGAGGTCAGGGGTTTAGGCTCCAGGCCCCCAGCCTCTGGTCCCTACCCCAACCCCTTTCATAGGGTCCCAGCTTCCCAGCCAACCTTTGTCCCCCACTCCCACCCCAGACCCCAGGCCCTCTTGTCCCCAGCCCAGACCTGCGCTGGTCCTCACTGTCAGCAGGGGAAATGGTCAGACACTCATCCATGTGTCCATGAAAGAGGCGGAGGACATGGCCCCCTGTCACATAGCCTGGAGGGGAGCAAGGGAAGGTAGTCACTGTGAGGCTGGAGCCCCGGGAAGTTCCAGGAGTCAAGGTGGAGTCCAAGGGTCCTGATTTTCCCCTGTGGGAGGCTGAGGGCTGGATTTGGGGGCTCTCAGCTAGAGGTCTGAGTTTCAGGGTATAAAGTAGTAGGCTGAGATTTGGGCCAAGTTTGAAGCCTAAAGTGGGGAAATGAGATTTGAGGTCTGAAGTCACGGACCTAAATTTTGGGGTCTTGGTGTGCAGGGCTGACGTTGAGGGGTTTGTGGGTCTGTGGTTTAAGGTTCTTAGTTTGGAATTTTGAGGTTGAGGTCAGAGTATGTGGTCAGAGGTTTAGATTTAATGTTCACTGGTACTGAGGTCTGAGTTCTAGGGCTTTGGTCTTGGGGTCTGGGTTTGGAGGTGTGATGGATGTATCTAAAGTTGAGTTCTGGAGTTAGGGCCTAAATTTTCGGTATTGATTTTGGAGGCCTGAGGCTGGAATCTGGGGTTTGGTGTCTGAGATTATAATCTATTCTTTGGAAGTCTGGGCTTTGTGGTATGAGCCTGGAGAGATCTAAGTGTTGTTGTTAGAAGTTGATGGATCTGAGTTTCCGGGTCCAAGCTTCATGATCTGTGATTTGAGTCTCAGTTTGGATCTGGTTTAGGATTCTGAAGTTTTGGGTATGAGAGTTGGGGTCAAAGTTTTGGGGCCATGCTTTGGAGTGTTAGGATAGAGATCTGAATTCAGGAGTGTGATTTGGGGAGTTTCGTTTTTTGAGATTTGAAGTTAAAATTTGGAAGTCTGAGGTTGGTGGGCTGAAGTTTGGAATCTGAGTTAGGGGTCTGGGTTGGGGATCTGAGATTTGAATTTGGGCATCTGGGTTTGAGGGGCTGAAGTCACAGTCTGAGGGTTGGGTTCTGAGGAATAAGCTCCAAATTTGATGTTCAAAGCCTTAGATCTGAATTTCAGCATCTAACCTCTATTACCTGAGTTTGGCATGTGAACTTTGGGAACTATACTTTGGGGTCTGAGTTTGGGAGTCTGATACTGAGTTTTGGGTTTGGGAATCTGAGCTCTAGGGCTCCAGATTTGGACTCAGTTGGAGATCTAAATGTAAGGGCCATATTTTGGAGATCCAGGTTTGGAGTATCCAAGGGTCAGTTTGGGCATGTCTGGGGGCAACACTGAGGGTCTGTTTTGGGGGTTTCAGCTTAGGGGCTGGTGGTCTGGGGTCCTCACCCTCTTCACAGCCAGAGCAGATGGGGTTCATGTTCCATAGGGTCTGCATGAAGGAGGCGTCAACCTGGAGCTCCCCACTGGCCGTCGACAGGTGCTGGGGGCAACCAGGTTGTGGTGGTCAGAGATTATTAGTAGGTGTGGGCAAGAGTCCCAGATTCAGAGGTCAGAAATCAGGGGAGCATGCCAGGAAACGGGCAGAGTTGGGACAGAAAATTAGAGGTCATAGATCAGGAAACCAAGATCAAGTCAGAAAATAAGGGGTCAGAAATCAGAAAATTGGATGTCAGAGGTCAGGAAACTGGAAATTGGGAGTCAGGATGCTAGGAGCTGGAGACCAGGCAGGCAAACCACTGATGAGGAGTTGGGACCAATCCCATGTGCCCCAAGCCCTGGGAGCAGTAGGAGCTGCAATGGCAGTGGGATGGCTCACCAGATACCGCTCAGAGGAGACACTGACAAGGATAAGGTCGTCCCCCACGCGGACCTTTTCTCCTTCGGACCTCTGCTTGGAGGCTGGGTGCATCGTCCACCAACAGGCCTCTCCTATGGGTGGGGGTGGGATAGTAGGTGGCTGTCAGGATGATGGCCTCCCAGAACGCTCTTCTCCAGTGCTTTCCCAGATGCTGAGCCTTCCAGGACCTTGGTCCACAATTCTCCCATGGCTGTCACCAACTCTCTGCCTAACACTTCCCCATTCCTGCCCAAGACTATGCCTAGAATTCTCTAGTGTGCCTAAATGTCCCTGTCTAGAATGTGTCCAACCACACCCCCAGATTCTCTACCCAGTGCCCCCACTCCTGCCCCCAGAGCCATCTCATGCCTGCCTCTGGAGCTCTGCAGATCTCCTGCCTCCTGACTCCCTGCCTGTGGAGTCCCCAGTATCCCCTGCCCGCTCCAGCCCCTGTACCTGTCGCATCCTCCTGCAGTCCCACGTCAAAGGCCAGCTTGTCAGTCATGGAGCGGGAGGTGGTGAGGCAGCTCAGATACTAGGGTTGTACAGGGGGGTCACTCAGTCTCCTCTGGCAGGCACTGCATGCCCTGCTCCCTGCCCACCCCCCCGCCGATGCACTCACCATGCGGCTGTGTGCATGCCGCAGTAGGATGGCATGGCCATACAGGAGCGTCCTGTGTCCCCCGCCTTGGGACGACTGCAAGGGGAGAGGGGGAACAGAATAAACACAGACTCCCAGACTCTTGAAATCCCCAAGACATCTGGCCTATTCACAGGTGGTAATATGCTCTCCATAAAATACCATGCTGGAAGCCTCAGCTCAGACCCTCAACAGATTCTCTGCCTCAGTCTCCCCATCCATGGAAGCAGGGGTGTGTCTCTGAGAAACCTGTGGATGGGGTATTCTATATTCCACGAAGTCCACTCTGTCCTCCTGCCTCCTTCACCTGGTTGACCAGGCCCCAAAGTTGCTCAGGGAGGATGAACCCATCTTCCAGGAGCATGGGGACACTCAGGGAAGCTGCAGTATCAAATGTTCCAAGGACCTCGGCCCCCTGTGCCCTAGCCTGTCAGAACACAGCTGAGCTGCAGCTGGTGTGCACCATCACAGTTCTAGCAATTGTTAAATATGTGAGCATCACCTGTCGTGATGAGGTGGCCACCCTGTGCTGCCACAGGTGGAGGTACACTGATTGCTCGATGGCATCATGCCTCCATCACAGCTGTCACATGCCCATGCTGTGAGGGGACCATCTTATGGGGCCATGTGATCACATGGCAGACCCACTCCTGGACCAGAGGGGACCCACACTTGGGATATGGGGAAGTGAGGGTAAGGGTCCCATGCGGAGAGGAATCAGGGTTGGGAGAAGGATGGGAAACAGGAGAAGGAGCAGGCGGGGAGCTGGGGCTCAGAAGCCCCCGCCTCCTTTCTTCCCGCCTGCCTGGCCTGTTCTGGGCTCCACAGCCCCTGACAACTGGGGTGGGAGAGAACTTCCCAGCCCCTGTGTGCAGGATGTGGGCCCGAGAAGCAGGCCTGGGGTCAGGAAGGGTGGAAAGGACACATGACACCCAAGGCTAGACCTACCCACTTATCCAAATTGAGGGCCTGTGGGGGGCGGGGCAGAGAGAGGAAGAAGAGCAGATGGTAAATGACCCCCAGGTCCTCTCACCCCTCCCTGTCCCCATGCCCTGCCCCCAGGGTGGGAGCCTCACCTCCACGCCAGCCTCCACAGTGTTGGCTAGCATCTCCTGCAGGGCTCGGACTGACAGGGACTGCTCCAGGGTGAAGCAACAGATGGCCAGATCGGGGGGCACATTCTGGGGTGGGTGTGGAGACGTGAGTGAGCATCATTCCCTGGCATGCCCCCTCCCCTAGTCTGAATGCCCACACTCCTGAGACTCACAGACCCCACTCCAACCCCACAAGAAGCCCCTGCCCTCTGCCGCCCCCATCAGAATATCACAGAACACACTTCTATGCCTCCTCCCTGAAACACCTAAACCCCATGCAAACTCTGTAGAAGCTTCCACACTACCCTCTACTCGAATACCCCACATCCCACCTAATCTCATAGGAAGCTTCAGTTCCGCGCCTCCTCCATCCACACTACCCTCTACTCGAATACCCCACATCCCACCTAATCTCATAGGAAGCTTCAGTTCTGCGCCTCCTCCATCGGACGCACTGAACCTGCTCCAACTACAGGAAACTTGCCCTGCAGACAACCCCCAACCTCTCCAGTCCCAAAGGAAGCCCCACATCCTGCCTTCACCATCAATAGCCCCAGGTTCTGCCTTTTCCCTCAAACACCTATGGACAACACTTCACAGTCACACGAGGTTCCAACCTTATATCCCCCTCCTCAGTCTCCCACCCCAGTCACCTCTGACTCCCAGACACTCTTCCCCTTCGCCTCGAGCTCTATGCCCCTCTCAGATACCTGCTCACTCAGACCCTCAGATTCCACATCCCCTCCCTCCTTCAGCTCCCAGTCCCTTCCCTGTCAGCCCCTGCCCCATCCCCCCAGGTCTCCTCCTCTCTCCGTCCCAGAGTCCACCTCATCCTCAGACACCAGGCCCCTTCCACCTCTCAGCCTCCAACTTCCCCCCACCCCCCAGACATCTCACTGCCAGTGTCCCCCTGCCCTTCAAGCCCTTTAGCCTGGGACCCAAGGCCCCCTGCCCCTCAAATCCCTACCCCATCTAATCCCTGCCCTCTCAGACCTGTCCCCCCTCAGCCCCCTGCACCCTCTCAGCCCCCTGCCTATTCAGACAGCTGCCCTCTCAACCCCCAGCTCCCTTCATCCTCCTGCCCCTTCAGGCCCCTGCCCCTCATCCTCCTGCCCCTTCAGGCCCCTGCCCCTCAGATCTCTGCCCCCTCAGACCCCTGCCGCCTCAGATCTCTGCCCTCTCAGACCCCTGCCCCCTCAGGCCCTGCACCCTCAGGCCCCTGCCCCCTCAG